TCGATTTTTCGGTTTTTTGATTTTTCGATTTTTAAATTTTTCGGTTTTTTGATTTTTCGAATTTTCGATTTTACAATTTTTCGATTTTACAATTTTTAGATTTTTCGATATATCGATTTTTCGGTTATTCGATTTTTCGATTTTACAATTTTTCAATATTTCGATTTTACAATTTTTCGATTTTTTGATTTTTCGATTTTACAATTTTTAGATTTTTTCGATTTTTTTATTTTTCGATTTTTTGATTTTTCGACATTTCGGTTTTTCGATTTTTCGATTTTACAATTTTTCGATATTTCGATTGTTCGATTTTACAATTTTTCGATATTTCGGTTTTTTGATTTTTCGAATTTTCGATTTTACAATTTTTCGATATTTCGATTGTTCGATTTTTTAGATCTTTCGGTTTTATGATTTTTCGATTTTTCAATTTTTCGATATTTCGATTTTTCGGTTTTTTGATTTTTCGATTTTTAAATTTTTCGGTTTTTTGATTTTTCGAATTTTCGATTTTACAATTTTTCGATTTTTTGATTTTCAATTTTTTGATTTTTCGATTTTACAATTTTTAGATTTTTCGATTTTACAATTTTAATTGGTCCATAAAAAAAGCCCCATATCTTAACTGTATGCTATTTGCACTTTTGCCTTTTTTGTAGGATTCATGTACACAAATATTAAACCCAGATTTTAGTTATTTTTCCTGCCACTGGCTGCGCAAATATTCAGGACGTACCGATGTTAATAGAGAGATCGGGCAAGCACCTTGTAATACAAGTATAAAGGGAATGTACATGGTATTACCACCTCATCCTTTAATTTCAGCTTTCCCCTTTTTCTTTTCTAACATCAGTAAAAATAGTCTCATAATATTTGATAATATCTTCTAAAAAGTATAGAACAGCATCATCTCTAGAAAGTGCATTATTGGCACTAGGAACGATATATAATATGCTGCCACTGTTTTAAACGTTTAGTATCCTATAAAAAACATTTACAATGACACAATTGGGGTAAAAAAAACAGTAGCAACTCTTTATCTAACATTAAAACTATAAAAAATAAATTTTCTTTTCTAGTGAGTTAAATTTAATGCATAATTATTGTTGTTTATAAGTCAGCATCTATAACTGTAAAATTTTATATTATAGAAACTTATAATAAAATAAACTACACTTCGTAAGATACATATTGTGACTAGTTCACAATAAATATATTTAGATGTGAATGAATACATTATTTTACTTGCATTAAAAGCTTTAAAAAGACATTGAATTGATTTCTTCTTGTGTTTTCTTTAGTTTTACATTTGATTTTTATCCTGTTTTACAATCTGAAACGACGTAAATCTTGCTTTGATGTTTTTTTCTCACTCATGTTACTTGTACTCAGGTATTTTTTTCACATTATTTTGATTCTTTTCATCAATTTTTTAAAACACTTTATTTTACATTAACTTACATAGAAAATTGCGCTGTCATTAGACATCCCAACTACAGTCAATTTCGCAAACTTTATTAAAAGAAGGACGGAAATTTGACCGTTGCCGATTCGCCTTCTTCTCTCTAGTCTTCATAGTAGGTCTGTTCGGGTTCTTTAAAATACATTGAAAACTATCAGAGGACTAGTTGACCAGTGGACAGTTTAATAGTTGTGGGCGACGTATACTTTAGAATTGAACTGTTCCACTAGTTCTCGGACGGTTTGCATCGAGTTTTAAGGAAACCCGAACAAACCTAAAATTTACGTAGACGTGAACGTGAAGGATATTTGAATACGCATGCGCACATGTCAGTTTTCACGTACACGTTTACGTTCATAGCATCACTTCAACTCTCTATTATTGTTACACGTAAATATGGAACGCTCTGGCTCGTGAATTTTAAAATTAATTAAATTAAATATAAAAAATTAATTTATTTATAATTCGTTTTCATAAAAAATGGGAAGGTGTTGTGCTATTCATGGTTGCCTTAGTGGCCGAAAGGCAAATGAGAATTTAGGAAAAGTGGCTTTATTCAAAGCACCTCTAAATAATATTAAAAATTTGTTTTTAACAATTGCTTGATTAATAAATTTGTTTAATTTTCAAATAATAATTAAACGAGTACTTCTTCAAAAGTGGCGCGCCCGGCAAAAAGTCTGTGCCCCAAATTGATGCCATTCATTCAACATTACGTTCGCACTCCTTATAACTATACTTCGTGGCGCCAGCGCCAGAGTAAAATTTGCGCGCCATGGAGCACGTGCTCGGGACCAGCAGCTTAGGCATATATTTTTGTCTAAAATATCCATTGCTGGTGATTTCAACTTTACAAAAGTGCGCTACTAAAATAAATCTAAGATGGTCTTTTGGATGATTTATTTAAATACTCTAAGCATATGTAATGTTAAATCTCCTCTGTGTATTGTATGTATATGTTACGGGCAGTATTGTAAATTGGGCATTGATGATATTGACCGGACACTAACGTCAGCAGCCATATTTGCTGGCCAATATCGTTATTATCTGGGCAGTAACGAAAATGCCCATTAATCGTGGACAATGTTGATAATATTTTTTGTTTGCATCTTTGTCCGGTCATTAACGACATCGACCATCAATAAGTGGACATTGTTGAAAATATATTATTTTTTGTTCTTTTTCCGGCCATTAATGACATTGACTATCAATAAGTGGGTGAAGTTGATTTTAAAAAATTAAGTTGGTACTGTGACAGTGACTAGCAGTACATCAGATGTACGTGCTTTATTTGTACATCGGTCTCCTTTTGACAGAGTAGGTGAGCTGTGTCCAGGCCGTTGGTTTATGCCGGTCGGCGAGGCCAGGTATGGATTGAAATTTTCTGGTGGCGGCGAAGCCGCCACCCTACGAGTGCTCGTTGCTTCGTCTTCTTGTTGTCACGGCATTATTATTATTATTATTTGTTCATGTATGTGAAATTTGCTTCTAAGGTTTATAAAATACTACAGAAAAATACTAAAGTCTTCAACTCCATCATCTGAAATAAAGTTATGTTAGAATTATTATTATTCCGAAATACTCAGATATTGCAAGCCTTACGAAAACTATCTTTAAATCCGTACTCAGTAATTTGGGAGATAATTTAACTACTATTTATACAGATGGATCGAATAATGGTTTAGGTACAACTGGCTGTGCATTTCTTGTTATAGAATCATTTAAATTACCCTGCTTCTGTTCTATATTCACAGCTGAAGCAGTGGCGATTCTAAAAGCCTTAGATTGGTGCAAAGCAAATTCATTTCAGAATATATTTATAGTGTCCGACTCCCAATCAGTTCTGCAGGCTATTGATAGCCCTTCCATAAGTCAAAACAAAAACGCGGTAATATTATCCATTAAGAAAATTATATTTGACCTTAAACAGTGTAGCGTTAAAGTTTCCTTGGTTTGGGTTAAAGGACATTGTGGCATTGCAGGAAATGAACATGTGGATAGGGCTGCTAAAGAAGCATGTAGTTTAGAACAAATTACATTATTTTGTAGTTTTATAGATATTATTAGCATTTATAAAAAATATGTAAGAAAGAGATCGGAAATTAAATACACTGAGCATGCGAAGGCATCACAAAGTCACTATTATAGTATACATCCAAATCTTCCTAAGAATATTCCTTACATCAGTTCATGGAACTATAATAAATATCAGTCATTTATAATTACTCGTTTAAAGCTCAATCACGGCCGATTCCCTGCACATTTATGTAAAATTGGAATATTGGATTCTCCTTTTTGTCCATATTGCAATATAAACGCTGTAGCAGATATCAATAATTTATTTTTAGATTGTAATAAAAATGCTCAACATACCACCGTATTATATCAAGATTTAAATAAACTTTCAGTCCCACTTCCACTCAATATTTCTTCACTTTTAGTTCAATCAGATAAGATAATTTTTGACGCTATTATTAAATTTACTCAAAATACTAAAATAGATATTTAACATAATATATATGAAAATTATTAAGTTTAAACTTTCTGTGGTAAATAGACTTGCATGTCTGATGCCATCCCATTACTAAAAAAATAAAAAGAAAAACAAAAATACTACAGAAAAATACTAAAGTCTTCAACTCCATCATCTGAAATAAAGTTATGTTAGAATTATGATGTAAAAATAATGGGGGATACATCCGATGTACAAATAATTCGTGTACATCCGATGTACTGCTAGTCACGGCGAACATTTTTATTTTCAACTTTGGAAATATCCAATCAATCGCCCGCGCGGAAAGCCAGAAAATAGCGATGTAAACAAAAACAACTCTGTATTTTATTCAAATCCAAATCGTTGTGGTATGCGGCCCACACATAAGTGGGCGCTAACGATAACGCCCGGGCAGAGTCGTAAAAAAGCTATGTCATTTATAGTTTATCAACATTGTCCAATTTAAGCGGATGTTTACGTTATTGGCCGGTTATTATCAATTATGCCCAATCAAATAGGGAGATTTACGACAATGACCGGCCAATATCGTTAAAGACCGAAATATCATCTTTGACCGTAACATATATACAATAGATAAAACCTTTTCACTAATTGGGTAATAGTAAAACTGGGTTGTAGTTGTTTTTTTTTTTTTCGAATAATTTATACTGTTCATACATCAAATAACTACTTGAAATATACATTGTATGTTTCTTCTGTCCAACAGGTCCTTGTTTTATAAAATTATTTGTAACTACTTTTTACTAAAAACTTCCTGTAGCAAACCTTTCTTTCAATTATGTAGGTTTTTTTTTTAGTAAAGGCCTAGATAACAATAAAAATAATACCACTAAATAATAATAAAATAATAGCTTTTTTAAAAAACTAATGTACGACCCCAAGTAGAATATTTTCTGTCAACTCACTTTTTCATTCCATGACGTCACTGCGTCCTTAGCTACCGTGATGAGGCCATCGTGTTGTCGCGAGCCGTGACAGAACGGTACTAGTTTTGCGACGATGCCATATATCTGACGTTGTGTCAGAAAGTGGGGTGGCGTTGCGAAGTAGAGTATCAGAACAATGTGTCCATGCCTTAATGGTACACCTGTAGAGTAGGTTTACTATTTTTGTATTTGACTTATTTCAAAATTTCAGTGAGACATTCTTAAAATGTAGTACAAAATATTTTTTTTAAATGTATGTAACATAACATTATTCAGCAAAATGGTTTCATTTGTCGAAGAAGTTTTAACATTAAATAATATTCATTTATGGTTAATTTCTTTCACAACATTATGTAGTTGTATTGATGTTTTGGTATGTAACACAACTAATACATTTAAGGTGTTTTTAGGTAATTTAGTACTACTACTAGTAGTATTATTATTATTATTATTATTATTATTATAAATGTAATTGTTTTTGAAAAATTTAAAGTGATTTAAATAATTTTATTGTTAAAAGATTTATTCGATTCAATTTATTCGAAAGTTGAACAAGCAAGTTTTACTCTTCATTCTGATTTTTTGGGTCAGAAAAACAAACGTAAAAGAGCTTTTTGTATGTTTTCCATGACTCGGACGTTAGTTTGGAATAGTCTCAGTTTTTTTTAAGCGTTTTGTGCCAATTTTTTATTGTCTGTCATCAGGCCCGACGAGAGGTACGAACACCGTGGGGGGGCCCGGCAGCTTTATAACAGAATAGGTTATAATTAGTGTTGTCAGACGTTCCGCTTTAGGCACTTGCCACGCTTTTTAATATTCAAAGCTGTAAATAAAGAATGTTTTGAAGAGATAAGACTTTAGGACCATTTTTTTAGAAATTTCACAAAGGACCTGATTTTATAAAAATGTTTGATTTTTGAACCTGATCCCCTAACGTCACCGTTGTCCCGCTATTCCCTTTCGTAAATCTGCCAACCCTAGTTATAATATATAAGGGGCGGTCCCTTGCCAGTGTTTTGCCCTGGGGCTCCACCATGGATCTCAGCGGCCCTGTCTGTCATAGCCATAGATTGAGCCACACATAACGCTAACAGCACTTTTCGTATTTCAGGCGAGAGGCGTGCAGTTAGGCTGGGCCAAAATAGGCATATTTTTAAAAAATATAAAAATTGTTTACAATACCTATAAAAACTTGCGTTTTGCTGTGCTTACTTTTCGTAATTTTTTTAAAATTTCTAATTGTACATTTTCAGCACTCTACCGCCCCCTTTAGGGGTGAAAAATTAAAGTTTGAAATGTTGACGTACAATACCTACTAAAGTTACATTTTAGTGTTCGTATTCACACTCTTTATTTTTAATGTTTTTAAATAACATCTTCAGCCCTATACTACCCCTTTTAATCAATGTTTAATCCTTTTGTCTTTAAAATATAAGGTAAAAATTACTTGAACAACAAATATTACAGGTTTAAAACTAAACAATACATTTTTTTGAAAAATGGTAAAAAGAACCTAAAGAAATCAAACATAAAAAGCTAACAAATCAAACATAGAAACTTACAAATCAAATATAAAAAGCTATCACATCAAGTACAAAAATCATAGCAATAAAAAAAACATTACTGAATTTTAAACTAAAGAAGATGACTCTGTAACTAATTTTATGCATCTCCACAGATTGAGTATGGCAAGGGACCTTCGAAAAATCAAAGTCTGGAATTTTGGTTTCGTTTATAAGGTCCCTAAGATTATCATCAGTAAAATCCCTTAAAACAGGAGGCCGTGTCACATCGCACTCATTCCAGTAAATTAACTCAAAAGTAGTCTGTAGCACTGAAATTAATTTTTGGTACCACAAAGTGTCTTACTTCAACTGTTTCTCGACTGGTTTCTCTTGCTTTTAAGATTCTTCGTAGATATAGTTCCCGAACTCATTCACAAGTAGTGTCTGTTAACATACACAAAAGAATGTTTTCGGGGTGTATAAAATACGCGTTTCTTTGGATTACCGTATCCACAATACTCTTAAATACCGTGACAGTTCAATCGTTTTAAATACATGCAAACTACCACTAGTGAAACTGAAATTTAGTTTATTTACAACCATATATGTAATGTTGTCATTACTAACGTCATTGAAGGTTGGGAAGTGTCACATTACACACCTCTACTTCCCGTCCTCACTTCCCGCCTTCACTTCCCGCCCTCACTTCCCGCCCTCACTTCCCGCCCTCACCTCCCGCCCTCATTTCATCTATTCTAGATGAATATTTTTAATATTTAAAAAAAAAATAACACATTGTTTGACAAATTTTATAATACCTATTTAATGGCAAACAATAAAAAACAAAAATGATCTAAAATATAACAAACTACTTATTGATATTTATTATTCGCGAATTTAATATCCGGCTTTATCTGACATTTATTTATATTGGTGACAGTTGTTTACCCCGTATATTTACCTACTTGATTATTCTGAGAAAACCGCGCGCTTGGTTATTTGTCGTTAAATTTAATATTTCAGGTACGTTCAGAACAAAACAGAGATTTATTAACTTTGATCGAAATATGATGATTGTAAATAAAATAGTATACAAACCTCGGTAGGAAGTTTCATTCTCGGTGATCTAACTAATCTCACGACAGAAATGAAACTCTTCCCACCTCCGTGTGTAATATACTATTAATATTAAACCACATTGGGGTATACACTTTAATTATGAATTCGGCCATATCCGTAAGGCTTGATGTTGGCTTTTCCGTTCCAGCATAGAGCCGAAGAACACGATTCGACAACAGTTTTCGCGTACAATCTACCGTTTTTCTTTTCTTTCAGTTGTTTTGTCCGTTCTTCCGTCAAAATCAAGACTTCTTATTCTTCTGTTATCACTTTCAAACTCCTTCCTTGCGGTATTTCTAGATTTCTTTCGCTCTCTTCTCACTTTATTTTTGTCAACTCTTTTCGACGGATCTTCTGTGGTAATTATTCCTACATCTTGCAATAGCAGCAGCTGATCGATCTGATATACCATATGTACCGCATACAAGACCTAACGTAGGTAACTTTGTTCTCATTTGAGTGTTTTTTGAATCGGAGCAGATGCTGACGCCAAGATTAATAATGTAACTTTGAGAATAATAAAAATAAATGTATAAAAATTATAAAAAAAAATTTGATTTTTTCAAGGACAAGCAAATACTTTATTAGAAATCAAAATACAATCACGTTGAAACCAATTCTCAAATCAATGTAATAACGGAAAAAAATGAGAAATAAAATACAAGCTAAAATTTCAAATAATATACATGGCAAACTCTACTTTACCAACATTTTAGTTCAGGCACTCGTTGATAGATCGAAAAAATAACATGTCATCACCGGGAGTCGAACCCAGACTTCCACGTTTGTCGAACGTGCGTCCTTACTGTTAGACTATCGGCGACATTGACTCGAAATTCGTAAACGGAAATTTGAAGTGCTAGTTCTAGCCAAACGACGTTCAGGTTCTTTTTCAAATTTACAAATACCTCCAATACAGCATCATCGTTTTGCTACAACTAACACTTAGGAATCTCGACAGTCAATGTCTTTGATAGTCTAGGATGTACGTCCGGAAAATGTGGAAGTCTGGGTTCGACTCCCGGCAATGACAGGGTTTTTTTTTTTTCAAATCGAAAAGCATTTCTTTTAACCTTTGGGGTCCGTGGATGTTCGTAGTGGAATTATTGAGATTTGTTTCCGAATTTTCAAATTATAACTTTTAATATAAAATATCGTGTATTTCATTTAAAAAAATAATGACGTCATAGTTCCGTGAAATAAAACAAGGAAAATTTCATCACAGCTATGTATGTGTTTTTGCGTTTTTACCAAAATGTAATTACCTATAGGGGTTTTATGAGTTTTATGCGGTTTTTTTATGACTAGGGTTGCCAGATTTCCGAAAGCGTGACAACCGTGAAGACAGAGCAGTAGGTACAAATACCAATCCGGTCCATTTTTTGTGAACATTTCTAAAAAAGAAAATCCGGAAAAACGAGGGTCATTTACCCGGACATTTGCCTATTTTTGTCCGGTTCCTCTGCGGCTTTCAATTAAAAAACGTGGCAAATTTTCATAAAAGAGTGGTATTTTTTTCAAAAGTGTAACATTTTCGTACTGTGGCGTTGCGCATACAAGCAAGTCAAAAAGCGTGACTTCTGGTAACCCTATTTATGACACACTGCTAGGTAGTTTGGCAATTGTATTTATCTATCCAGGGGCGTATATACGGAGAGGATAATGGGAGTAGATATCCCCTAAGAGTTTTGAAACCGAATTTGCTATAGCAAACGTCTGGGACAGTACGTATGTAAGTAACCTACTTTAAGTAAAAAAAAAGATGTGTATGTTAAATCTGTGGTGTTCTTCTGCAGCCACTTCTCCATCAGTTAAAAACACTTTTATCCCTTATAACAGTAATCCAAAATATGGGACACCTGGTATTCATATATTTTAGTATACAATTTTTAATTGTAGTTTTCTGAGTGATTTGCATTGTTCCTTTAGCGGTTTGTTTCATCACATGCCGAAAAAGAACAAATTATTTTTGTTGAAGAAAATTGTATCCTCGGCTTCAAAGCGGTAACACCTGTAAGAATATCGAAAATAAACTACTTTATTTTATAAAACAAAACAATTATATTTAAAATGTAAAGATCGTATTATAATATCAGACAGAACAGTTCGTTTCTATTTCGTTTACCAATCAATACTGAATGCTTAAGGTTATCCTACCCTAAGCATAGGTACATTCGTTAACATCAACAAGTATTACACAGCATCTTTGTCGTCGTCGTCATATTTCTTACACAGCATATAGGTATACCGCCGACAACAAAAAAACAAGAACGGCCGCCAAAACGGCGTTTGAACTATCCCGCAGTCGCCGCCAAGTGTTGCTCGAATTTAGTTAGTCATATAAAAATTTTGTTAAAAAAAGATAAATAGATAAAATGACCTAGGTTCGTAAGTTTTCTAATAAACAATAAATAATAATAAAAAAATTGGTGTACGAAACAGGTTGTTAGCCGGAAGTCAACTAGCTAAAAAACAACAAATCGACCTCTTTGACTTACCCCCCATAGTCGGAGATATTTTTTTACTTAAAATGTTATATACAGTGAGCATCATAAGTCTTACCCCCCCCTAACTAACTCGTTACTGGGGTCTTGTTAGGAAAATTGCCGAGACAGGTCGATTTTTGATTTCTACAATGTACATTTTTGCATGTTTAGTTTACCCTTAATTTCATCCCTTACTGGAGGGTAGTAACCCTTTCGAAAAATTTAAATGGCATGGGGTGGTGAGTGATAGCTCATTTGAAAGG